AAGAAGCCAGCTAGTCCCAAGAAATGAACAGGCCTTTATTGCGTGGTCTTCTGATGATAGAAGCTGCTCCCAAGAAGGCAGCAGGCCTTTAGTGCGCACCCAGAGGAGGTCCGAATGACAAGAGCTGACAAGGACACTTTCCTTTTTTAGGGGGTTTAGGGAAGATGGTATTGTGCTTAGAATTTGAAGCAGGGGTCCTGTCAATTAACCTGCACGTGGCCTTTTGTGATCAGACCCAGAACCTTTAGACATGATCAGGTTGATTCAAGAAGTGGTCAGGCCTGGGGCAACTGCGCCCCTCTTCCTCCACAGACCCCGCTCCAAACCTCCACACTACCAGTTCCAGAATCTTTTTATTCAGTCCCTTGTCCCATTGTTCCCCAAATCAGAACCCTTGTCCCCCGCCCCCCAAACACTGCCTGCTACTCTGAGGAACTCCAAGCCAAGCTCCCAGCCATCCCCCCAAAATTCTGGGAATTCAGCTCTATCCTTCTCCTTCATTCCAGAAGGACACACCCCCCCCCACCTCGCCTCCCATCTAAGGAATTCTGGGCTCTGAGAGTTTTAGTTCTGTCACCAGATGCAGAGGCGCCACCTCGCCCAGACTCCAGAAGGCCTCCTGGGTCTCCCTCTTCAGCCTCAGAAGCTAAATTTCCATAGTGAATCGCACCGCTGACTCAAAAGATGGCGCTTTTTTTGTGGTTCGAACCCACCAGGTGCTTAACGGGAGAAAGATGGGGAATGTCCCCCAGTGCAATATACACCCTCTGCAAAACGGCTAAGAGGCTATTCTGACTCCATGCGGCAGTGCCTTTGAGTTTTGCCTTCAGGAGCTCTCAAGGAGCTGACCAAAAGGACGCTGGTTCTAACCCACCAGCGAGGCTGAGGCAAACGGATTTCTAGAAAGATGTACAACAGCCTTGGGAATGCTTTGGGGCAACGCTCCGCTGGGTTGCAATCGACTCAGTGGCAGTGGCTTTGATTCTGTTTGGGGGGAACCTCCCCCACTCACAGGAGCCCAGGTGCCACTCAAGCCAAGCACTTTGAGTGACTTGAGTGGTGGGTCCCAGGGAATCCATCAGCTGCTCCAGGGGAGAAAGGATTTGGTACTCTCCCCTCATAAAGGTTACTCATGGGTCACTGAGCCGGCAGAGCTTAGGATCTGTTTTGTTCTGTACCATCAAATCGGAGCCCAACATCGCTGGCCCTCCAGCGTGTTCTCAGAGGCAGTAATCGCACAGAAGGAGATTGCCTCTCCTTCTCCCGAGGAGTAGCTGGCGGAATCAAAACGCGTGCCTTTGGGATTGCAGCGCAGAATTTTACCTCGAGGCCCTCAGGGCTCTCTCCTGTAGGGGTTGAGTCAGAACCAACCCACGGCTGACCCTCCAGCAGATTTTCAGAGGCATAGGATATTTGGTATTGTTTTTATTTTTAGGTTTTGGTTTGTTTTGGTTTGTGTGTGTGTGTACCATCTAATCAGATCTGACTGGTACAGATTCGATCCGCTTGCCTCTGGGATTGCAGTGCAGCTTCTTGCCACTAGGCCACCAGAGCTTACCGAGGCATAAGGTTTATAAGGCTGTAGATCTTGAAAGAAAATCAACCGCCTCATCTTAGCGGCCAAATGCTCTGACCGCTGCACCACTAGGAATCAAAATAAACTGAAATACTTCTACTGTCCTCAGAATCAATCAATGGGGAGGGAGGGGGCAAAGGGTATAGCTTCTTTCCTGATCATGCCAGGCTAAAAACCAAAACCCCTATCCCTGGTCTCTGTAAATAACCCCAGATGCTGAAGCCACGTCAGAGAGAAAGAGAGAGAGAGAGA